ACCAACTACTCTAGGTTCCCCTCAATTCCCCTCCTGCTCAAATCTGTACCCTTTATTCCTCTCTCATTAGAAAACAAACAGCTACCAAAAAATCATGATAAATTAACATAGAAACAAACAAGCCAAAATTGGATAAAATAAGTAAACAAACAGAAGAAAAACATCCAAAGAAAAAAGAAAAGAAAAACCCAATAGAGGAAAAGGCACACATTTTCATACATAGAAAATCATGAAAAGAAGAAATCAGAAACAATAATTGTACACAAAAGTCATATAATCCTAAAAAAATTTAAAATCCACAAATGTTATTAAGTTTATTTTTTTTGTTTTCCCGTTACTACTGAGCATGGGGCCTGCACTTAAGAATTGTTTGTATACCCAATGAGACTCCCTTGAAGAAAACTAGTTATTGTATTTGCAACTGGTTAGTGATGGAGGCTTGTGACAACTTGGAGTTGGCTTCTGTATTAAAGATGAGAGCTTGTGTTCACTTCCTCTCTCAGTGCTGGCAACCCATCTGTCTTAGTGGTACATGCCCTGTGCATCCTTCCCAGTCTCATGAGTTTATATGTGTATCAGTCCTGCTATGTTTAGAAAGTCTTGTTTCCTCAATGTCTTCCACTTTCTCTGACTCTTACAATCTTTCCACCTCCTCTTCTATAGGGTTCCCTGAGATCTGAAGGAAAGGACTTTAAGAAGACATCTCATTTAGGACTGATTGTTCCATGGCTGGAGAGAACATCTTTGATGATAACTGAGTGACACAATGATCTATGAATATTGCAGAATACCCTTAGGAGACATTTTATTGTTACATGTCTTTAGCAAAACAATAGTATTTGGTTTCCCCCTGGTTCCATGGCCTATCTTGTTTCAAGTTCTTGACAATCTGAGAAGTGTTGGTTTCCATCTCATGGATTGAACCTAAAATCCAATAAGATATGGGTTGTTTAGTCCCACAATTTTTGAGCCATTTTGCACCAGTATATCTTGCAGGCAGGACATCATTGTAGATTGAGAGGTCTATAAATTAGGTTGGTGTTTACCTCCATGCAATCTCCCTGAAGACTGCCTTTCAGTTACATGACACTAGTGTATAGGAGCAAAGATTCTAGTTAGGCACTAGCTCAACTTCTCCATGTTCAATGAGTCCTCTAGTAATGTCTTTATCAATGGGGCTTTACCATCAATTTGTGGAGAGCAACCAATATCTTTAGCAGTAGCCTTGGTTGTTTGGGCATTTCCAGGGGGGGCGTATTGATAACAACTCAATTAACCTTTCCCTAAATTGGAAGTTTTGTCTGCTGGTGAGAAATATTTTGTTGGGGCTTTTGCTCCCTGGTTTTTTGGTGATTCCATTGAGATTTCTCTCATATATGTATAAATTTTAGAAGCTTCTACTGTATTAAATTCCTATATGACTTAAAAAGCTTTTTGTTTTTATTTCTTTAAGACTATGAAAAACCCTGAATGTGAACCTCCCAATAACTTGAGATTTGAGAGGGTAAGTAAAGAATCAGTTGCCTTATATCTGTGATAAATTCTGTCCATGAGTTAGAAGTAGGTCTTCAGATCTCCTAGAACTCAACTTTCAATCTGCAAAACCATGAAAAATAAAATGTTTCTTGAACAAGCCCCTAGTTACTAAGACATTCTTTAATTCAGGAACTTCCAGGCCATTCAATCTGTCTGAATATCAGTTGACATTTCTAAAATAATTCATTTTTATGTGTGTTGTGTGATACGTGTATATATTTTTCTATGTTGTGTGTGCATTCACATGCTGCTAGACAGTGAAAACTTCAAATAGGGCTTGTTATCTTCATCTGTATTTAACAATACATATTTT